TGCTCTATAATCAATTTACAACAAGAAATCTAATTAGTAACATGCCCTTTCCAAAGAGAAGATCAATATCAAGCAATTAAATTATTGGCATTAACAAGCGTAAACAAACCGACAGTTAAGTCCCCAACAGTTACCCGCGCCACGGGCGCCACGGCCTCGTGTATGAATAGTAAGGGATAATCCGTGAGAGCCGCGAAACGCCATTTAACCATTTTTTTGATCTTCTAATCCGGGAGTGTCGTAAAGCTCTCATTTCGTGCATTTCCACGATAAAGCGACAAACCCCGCTAATACAGCCGAAAGGTCATCTGAATATCAAATAGATGTCGACTTCTAAGCCTAAAGCCCGTGCCCTTACTAAACTCAGATAAAATTCAGCTGTGCACAAAATGTTCGATCCTATCATCTCCTCCCTCAACGGATTTAAACTATAGACTCTGCCATATTTCGTTTCACTTCACTATGTAACATGATTATGTTTGAATATTATGCTATACTTTGGCGCGCAGAAAATTGATGATCCAAACCACAGACACGTTTTGCTAAAAAAATAAATTAAGTAGGCATTAAGAAAGTAATGCAATTCAGTTCCACAAATGAGCATCACAAATGTCGGTAGGAATCTTAGAACTCCCGCGGGAGCGATAATTCCCTCGAACGAACTCACAGGCAAAGCGTTACTAATCTAATTTTCCACCAACATCTTGTCACCCGTTTTTCCTATGCAAACCTGACAATCTGCTCAACACAACGAAAACATACAATGTACTAACATGACACACGTATAATTCTGTTGTTTTTTCTCAACGGAAAACTCTCTTGTCATGTCTACCTACATTTATTATACGGTTACCCTAGGGGCTCTGAAATTAAGCTGTCACCGGCAACACAAGATCACCTTGTATTTCAGCTTTACGCAAGCGTAATTTTGTAACGACATCCTTTATACTGAAATCGTGACACTTGACAACATCTGTCTGTACTGGTGACCATAATTTGATTTAGCTGAGCTGAGCCGAGAATTTTATATGAATTTGTGGACTTAGATGGACAGATTTTCTTTCGGACGTGATACGTATACTTTGGTTTGGTTGACCGATCAGCAAAGTAGGTAAACCGATATTCTAGTGAGATCCTAATAATAAAAACAAATCAACCACCTAAACAATCTTCTATAATACCACCTTTTGCCCCAAATCTTCGTACCTAATGGCTAAGCTCAAGACCTCTTCCCAGAAGTAAAATAATTATTTAACGGGACGTGCCTAATTTAAGCTACGTGTCATTCATTCATAGTCCGGGCACTAACTTCGTATAATTTATACGCGCATAAAGTCAAAGATATGCCCATGGCAGGAATATAGAGGATACTTAGCTGTCTCCTGTTGATTTTACAGTGGATTTTATAGAGAACCACGTATCCTGCCTTCCTAGCATAGCTTAATCTTCATACTACACTATTATGTATGTGTATTAAACTAGTTATTTTGTTTAACTTGATTTCCAAGAGTTTGGTCGTGCTAGAAATCTAGATTGATTTTTATGTTTACAAAATTAGAGTACCTAATAAACAGGTTATTTTATTAGTCTGCATTTGTTGTTGGCAAGTTTTACTTGTATATTTATGAGGTATTTCATTCGATATCATCATATTAAATATACAGTCTAATGTGTGAAAACATTACTTAGTAGATACTCTTTAACAAATTACAATAATCTTTTAAGTTTATTTTCCTCTATGTAAATTTGATGACTCGGCTAAATGCCAATGTTTGATAAAATCTAGTCTAGGACATAGTAAAACTATCAACGCCAAATGTAAGTATTCGGTATTAATTTTTTAACTAAGAGCAATAAACTAAATACTTTATTCTCACTGATTATAAATACATAGAAGTAAGTATTTGTTTAGCAGCGTTTAGATATTTAATTGTGTAAATTAGACCTATTTTAAGAACTTTTGTTCTACCAAGACCGTTACACATTTTTGAGGATGTAGGTACTGTTTAAATTAAGGGGTCTAGGTAACCACTAGCATGAATAACGAAGTATATCTTTGGGTAATTTGCTACACGTGTGTCTAAATACTGACCGAACATGTCCTCCGAGTCTCTTCTAAGGCTACCTGACGTATCCTCTAATTTTATCTTAAAATGACACTTCTATAATTGACTAATCCTAGATATTTGCCAATTAAGCTTAGATCTAAGTGCCTTACTAATTTAATTAGCGTAACTGTGTCTCTAACCAGTAACGCGAGACCACAGATAAAATTCAATTAAGCGACCGTTCCCGCGCTTTTATTGTATTACATAGAATAAAAAATATATGCACTCCCCTCAATTAAGTTCCGTCACACGACATTGCGGAATAGGAGGATAGGGAAAAGTTTTATATTAGCTTTTCTCTGCATAGTGTGGAGGTTGTTACTGTGTATATGAAATGTGAGGTTTTGTCTTCGAATCGACACTTTCGGAAAATTATTTCGGAGACATTAGAACTAAGTACCTTTCGAAGTGAAATTAACATTAAGTAAGTACATTAGAGAAAGTGAGTACCTATCAAGAAAGTCAGTTTCTACTGTAAATATCTCTATGTGCCTTTATAACCCTTCAGGAAAATAATGTTGCGTTACGTTATTTTTAGACATTTCAGCCGTCTCCTACGCACGGAAACGTTATTAGATTTTGATTGCGAAAAATAGATATAATCAGTAATTTCCTGTATAGGTAGTTGCCGACAAACGATAGATTCTTTGCCAACTGTCACAACATTGCAGTACGGTCTATATAAATAAAAATGGATGTGCAAAATGTATGTACCTTGGCATATGTACCTATGCCTAACTCACGAATGACAACATCTAATAAAACAATTCCTTTTTGATGCATTCATTAATACTACGTACATTATACTTACATACAGACACATTAAAGATTTATTTCATTTCGTTTTAATTGACGGCAAAACAAGATTGGTATAAAATAATTATAAAAATTCAGTCACTGGCAAAATTAGGGGCCAGGGCAACACCAGGACGCACCACTATCGCGCTAGTTTGAAATAAATTATTGTACCTCTCTGCTCGTAAATTCATTAATTTAATTAATCCAGCTTAGTGGGTACAGGTTATAAATCTTTCTTTGACGCTTACCGCATGAGAATAGGAAGCGTGCATCGCATCGCGTCGCAGCGATGCGCTAAACTTTGTGAACTTTGAAGGACTTTGCAAATATGCGATGTGTGGAAGAATTTACAGGGTTTAGTAAATTTTAAAGTGTTAAGTAAATATAAGTATTTCGTATCCTTTTTGTTTATTTTACAATGCAATTAGTAGGTACCTAATAGGCTTTTACATATGTATAACAATAATAATTGACAAAAAGGATCCGTAGATCAATAATAAATTATTTATAACCTTATTTCTGCCAAAAATAATTCTAATTAAGACTTAAATTAAAATAAGTATTAGTAGCTACTTTCACTTGTTCAGTACGTGGAAATGTCATGACATTTAACTAACTAGATGTTCTAACTAGAACAATTAAGAAAAACAACAAACGTTATTTGTTCCTTACATTCATTGGAAAAACTTTCCTGAAGTGTGATCTAAGCCATTCAAGACGTAAGAGACTTAAAGCCTTTATTGGGATTTTCTAACGTTCGGAGCGCTCCCGAGACCCTCTTCAAGACACAGTCAGAGTCTAAATAGACCGTGAGATAACAGCGAGAGGAAAGGTTCTTAATTGTCGTTCCCAAGTAAATCAATATTTGTATCAAAGTACGCCGGCACTACGCAATCTTTCACCTGACAGGAAACAGAAACAACGTAAAATGAGGAGACTTCAAAATGTTATCTACCTACACAATTTTGACAACAATGAATAAGATGTCCAATTATTTATTTTATTGACATTGTCACTATCTCGGCTTCTGATAACAAGTAGATATTTCCAGCACTTCGGTAAATTGAAGGTGTAAAAAGTTTTTGTTTTGTTTACACTTAATTTTTGATACTTGATCTTCATATTTCTAGGTTGTCGGTCTATATTGGAATTTTAAATTAAATTCATACTCGCACTTAAGAACATGTTAAGTATTACGAACAAAACAGTAAAAAACAGGAATTTTCATAAACATGAAAAATCTAAAATTGTCACGAACAAAACCGTGGGCGAAGCGCTAGTCAAGTGACATTTAAGTTGACCAAATTCAATTTTGTTGAAAGGCCTTGAAAGCTTTTGCATCTTTTGCCGGGAACTTAATGAAAGTCACGCGGTTTGATCCCCGAGAGATACACTCAAACTATTGTTGTTTTGAAACTGCGTGCCTACAATAGATACCTAGTCAACAAAATTCTCGGTTTATATTCGCTTTCACAAAACAACAATTTAATATTGTGTAGTAAAACCTTTTTCTTTTATCTGTTTAGGTACTTAATATTAAAGTAATTTAAATAAGTCATTGATCCAGACTGCGTTTCTTACGGTGATGTGTAATGAAAATATTTTATTCATCTTATAAATAAGTAGGGCTTTTATTATATTTCTAATTTGTATTTACTTTTATGCATAACATACAATTTCAAATTCATTTATTTCCTACTATTTTTCTTAAAAAAACGCTAGCCTTACACTAGGATTTTCTTCTATGTCGTGGGTGCGTTTACAAACATTCACGTACACCTACACATGATACCCAGATCCTAAACAACAATTTGTGGATCACATAAAGAGTTGCTCCGTGCGGGAACCGAACCCGCATCACGCTGCACTGGCTTAACTGGCTGTCCAGTTGCCCAGCCACCGCGCCAACCGTGCAGGCACTCATTATTGCAATGATAATAAGAAGACAGTATAATATTATGACAGTAACAAATAACAACCATTGGAGTACTTTACACAGCGGGTGTACGAAATTGGAGCACGTTTCTATTTTAATTACCTTCCTATGTACTAGTTGTGGACAAAGATCAAAGTGGTATGATTAATGTGTTTCAGATGCCGCACGCTGCGTACTCCGGGGAACATCCTCGTGGCCAACCTGGCGCTCAGCGACTTTCTGATGCTCGCGAAAACGCCAATTTTCATCTTCAACTCGTTTAATCTCGGACCTGCACTCGGAAAAACTGGTACATTACTTAATTAACCCTCAATTACCTATCTGATTAATATTACTCGTGTGTATGTCCTAATCTAATGTTAGGTACATTAACTTTTCCAATAACAAAAATGGCAGCCGTTCAAGTAGACTGTTTTTATTAATAGTTATTTATATCATCTCTTGAAAACGTTCTAACTAATGAAATTACGAAATATCTCATCTGTGAAATCGAACAACTCAACAAGTCAAAACTATTTGTAATAAAGGGGTTCAATTAAACTGTATTGGTAACGTTAATTCTTTTACCATTATAAAGGCGAAAATTTGTAAGGATCACTGAATTTGTTACTCTTTCATTGTGCTTAAGTCATTTGATGATTTCATGAAAGGAATAACTACACATAGGTACCTAGATACGCAGCTATTTATGGACTGTATTGCCTAATACAACAAAAGGAGTTCTTAACTCGTGACGGTCCAATATGAAAGAAATGTATTTCGCATTGTTCGCACATGCCAATATTATTGTCATATGATTCATATGTTATTTGATACCAATACCAAGAAATCCAACAGAAGTACCTACCTTCTTCAATAGCATTCTCATTTTTCAACTTTATTATCACCTCCGGCGATGCCTTGACTCTCCAACAAACGAGCCGTAGCAATAGGGGTGAAAATCCTTGATTTATGTTGGTAATTTTTTACATTCTGTTTATAACGGAAAAGTAGAGTCCGGAAGAAAGCCTTATGGTTAAGGCAGTGTGCGTATCTTAATAAAACATTTTCGTTACAGGATGCGTGATTTACGGCTTCGTGGGTGGTTTGACTGGCACCACGTCCATTGCCACGCTATCGGCCATCGCGCTGGATCGCTACTGGGCAGTCGTTCGACCATTGGAACCGCTGCGTGCACTGACAGCAATACGGGCTCGTTTACTAGCAATAGGCGCATGGTTATATGCGTGCGTCTTTGCAATAATACCAGCTCTAGACATCGGCTATGGTAGCTACGTTCCAGAAGGCTACTTGACGAGTTGTAGTTTTGATTATCTCACTGAAGACTTTTCACCTCGATGTTTCATCTTCGTTTTCTTCTGTGCAGCGTGGCTTGCACCATTCTGCACTATCACGTTTTGCTACATCAGCATATTTCGAGTCGTTGTTTTCAATACGAGTATGTCTTACGGCAACCAAGATCAACGACTATCATCAAGACACGTAAAAGAGCGAACCAAACGAAAAGCTGAAATAAAATTAGCCTTTCTAGTTATGGCAGTCATAGCTCTATTTTTCATATCTTGGACACCATATGCCATTGTAGCTCTATTGGGCATTACCGGTAAAAAGGACGTTTTAACTCCAATAACTTCAATGATTCCCGCATTGTTCTGTAAAACAGCCGCATGCATTAATCCATTTATTTATATTATAACTCACCCAAAGTTTCGTAAAGAATTCAAGAAATTGTTATTCAGGGACAAATCAAAGCGAATGGGTGGAACGATGAAAACGATAGGGTATTCCACTGATACTACCAGAGTACACCGACCAAGTAAGGATTTGAGCGACACAGAGGTGGAAATAGTTGAAATGAAAGATATACCTTATCAGGTCAATGAGAAGCATGAAGTCAAGGTAAAGACAATATCATCGAAAGTGGCAGAGAGACAGGACTCCCAAACTAGCATGAGTATAAAAAGTTTAGAAAATAGCGTCGTAAGTCCGCCTTCCTGGTACACTAAGCCAAAATTCTCGAAAAAGAAAAGTTTCCATCGACGTTCTACACGCACCAATTGTTCACAAACTAGTGACCAAGAAGACCAGTGACCGTTTAAAAAAGTTGATTTCATTGAAAACATGTGCATGTATAGCAGGCAAAAATAAACCTACGAGTAGGTAAGATGGATGTTGGAAACGACAATGGAAGAACAGGGTGTTCACACTAAACGCATACAAAGCCCTTTCTGGAATAAAAATGCAATGCATTTGTTTTAGACGACATTGACTAAGTTTAAAAATCGTATTTGATTACTACTTCACCTGATATCTGCATATTAGACATGTTGTGTGAGGATGCACACTTGCCTAGAAGTAGACAAGAAGAACACGAGAGTCAGAAGACAAGGACAAAAAGTAGACTATTATAAATTAGTAGCACCACTATTTCCATGCTAACCACGAGCTATTGTTAACCACGAGCTTTTTAGCAGAATATGTTACCAATTTGTCTTTTTAGATAAGACAAATTTGGGTACCCTATGTAGATACCTATACTTAATGTACTGTTTAAAAATGTTATGTTGCAAGAGTGATCAACAGCTACAAATTTTATCAACCGACTTTAAATTCAAATACAAAAGAGAGACTTTTCAATGAATCAGAATATTTATTTTTTATCTTAATAAATTCTTAAGAAATCTTGCAATCAATACATGTATACATGCATATAAATGTATCATTAAGAAGATTTGTCGCTGTAGATAAATTCATACAGTCATGTATCTTTATTTGTCAGATTAGTCGTGTTCGATATCTATTTTACCTTCGACTTGTATTGTAAGTTACGATAAAATGTATTTAAATATAACTTCAACTCCATTTTCTAGTACGCAATTACAAATGTATAAAGCTCTATTTTGTTAGTGGTTAAGAATATTGTTAATGTTATTAAGTAGATAGATACTATCAGACCTACTGAATCCTACTTTGTGTACCTACCTGTAGACAATTAGACATTAGTATAGAGATTTGAAATTATATTTTAATTATCTACGATCAATGTTACGGAATAAAAATATTACGACCTGACATACAATAATTTTATTGCATAAATATTTTCATAGTCATCATCGAATACCTACCTTCAAGTCCCTTCCCACCAAATACTTGACGGTAGATACTTGGAGAATTCTAAAATAAAGAATCTAAAAATGTAAAGCAAAAGCTAAGAAAGCATAGGTACCTCAAGAGTATAAGACTGTAAGAGTATAGTTCCGTGCACAAAACGGTGGTTAAAAAGTACCGCTGGAAGGATGTGGTAGTTCTGAGGATGCTTTGAACTGGTAACGGAAAAATAAACGGCCAAGAACCACGAGAAATGGAAAGGTTTCATATTGAAGGCCAAAATTCACTATAAGTCAACACAATGAGAGAGTTACTTACAACTTTAATAATATCACTTAACTTGTTTCGTGGGACGTAGGATTAAAAGGCTCGATGTTATAATGTTTCAAAAATTTTAAATTACGAACGCATCATTTCGTGTAGCGGTTGGTAGCCCTGTTATGTCTTTCAATTTTGACGCTGACATTTAACATCAAACGTCAATGTCATTGTATTTTAGTGAAATGATTCCTAACCTATCATCTCACTTTTTAAAAACTATATTTCAAAGAAATCACTTATTTGTTAGACAATATGCCGCCACAAAAACGTACAAACTTCTCTTTTTTGGATCAGATGGTATTGCACTTAGTAGTTTGCGAAAGATAAATGAATTTAGGTAAGACAAAAATATAATAACAAACTGCTTGATTTTCAAAGAATTTAATGTATATTCTCTTTAGATACTCTGAATTAAATTTATTTAAGTTTCCTTTTGGTGATCTTATTGAAATCGAAACATATGACACAAACTTCTTTCAGGAAAAAGGAGAATCACCTGATTGACCGATTGGACGTAGTCACTACAAATACTAAACACAAAACAGAGATAATAAAGTATGCTGAAGGAGAAAATATAAATACAGTGACATGGCCATTAGATAACTTAAAACCTGCAGAATATGACTTGGGATTAATAGTTGCATTTGGTCATCTGATTAAAGAAGATCTCCTGAATAAGTTTCCTCTGTAAGTTTTAAAATTAATTTTTACCTACGACTAATTAATATATTGTGTAGTGTTTGGCTAATAATGTGATAAATTACCCCTAGGTATCATAACTTTTATTGAATTTTATGCAACAAAACATTAAGTTAGTTGTAATTACTGTTTCATTAACCATTGTATTAAATTGTATTTCTGATAATATTTATCATCATCTCAATATAGATTAACAATATTACTTATAAATTAACAATATTTTACAGTGGCATGGTGAATGTTCACCCAAGTCTACTACCACGATGGAGGGGAGCTGCTCCCATTATCCACACACTGCTACATGGAGATCAGGTCACAGGAGTCACACTTATGAAGATTAAAGCAGACATATTTGATGTGGGTAAGCATACTTTAAATGTACCTCATATGGCTATTCCTTGAACATGGTTTTTAATTAAAATTGTCTTCTTTATTTTAAAACTAGTTTGCTCATTTCTATTCAATGAAATATTTTATATATAAACTTTGTAATATGGATACCAACTTTTATGACCTAAACAGTTATAGGATTCATGAGTTCTCTTGAACTATTAAACAACAAATTGAATTCAGAAATTAGTAGTTTACTCGTCATAGAGAAATTAACATCACAATAAAAGACTCCTTAGACCATAGACTAAAACTATACCCATAGAAACTTTAACAGAGTTGGTAAATGTTAGTAATTTTATTTTAATAATGATACATTATTAAAATTCCAGGTGAAATAATAAGTCAAATAAGGGTACCAGTGTCCAAGGATATAAGACTACCGGAGCTCACTGAGCAACTATCAGAATATGGCGCAGAAATGCTGGTAGAGTGTATTAGGAGTTTACCTACAAGCTTAGAAAATGCACAGCCACAAAGTTCAGAGGGAGTCACTTATGGTAAATATTTATTTTCATTTTTCAATTGCTTATGAGATCAGTTCAGTAAAAATAAAGAAAAAGTCATAGAGACCCCAAATTGAGAAGTGGCTCAACCAATGCAAATTTTAGTACTTTGCCCGACCTACGAATCGAACCTGAGATCCCTTGTTTGATGGCTGTCGTATTTGCGACAAATCAATCAACGAATCAGTCGTAGTCTTAGAAGTCCATAGTAATACTTACCAAAATCTGGCACCATCTAATCGAACTATTCTTTTTATTACAGCTAAGAAAATACACAAAAGTATAAGTGAAGTACGATGGTCCTCAATGTCGGCAGTCGAAGTGTATAATCTATACCGGGCTATATACGGAGTGTACCCACTCACTACAACATTTAAAGATAAACGAATGAAACTATTTGAAGCATTTCTCAATGACAATAGCATAGACCATAGTGATAAACCAATCGGGACACTAGAATATTGTGATAAGACAAATGCAATCAGAATATTATGCAAAGACCGAAGATATGTTTATTTTAGATCTCTTAGGATAATAGGCAAAAGGCAAATATCCGCCCTAGACTTTTATAACGGTTATATAAAAAATGTTCCCACAGATAAAAAAAAGTGTACAGTTTTTAGAAATCAATAAATACTTAAAATACATATTAGATATTATTATTTCGTTGTTTTTATTCCAATACCTCTTTCATGTCAGTTTTATTATGTTATTTGTTAACAAGAGATTAAACATAGGGGCAGGCTACAATTAGGGGAAAAATAAGTAATAAGTTTTATTAATTTTATAGTAATGTATATTATATATTACAAAATATATAAGATATTAGATGTCACTACACCATTAAACGCAGTGTACAATTTGTTATAAACATAAATACATAAATATTACAATAATTATATAAAAATAGGAATAAAATAAATATTTGTTAGTAGGGTAGGTCATAGTCTGTACTTCTGTAATGGAAAGTTGTGTTAGTAAAAACAATATTTGTCTTTATTTTACCTAAAATCTAATTCAACATGTACTATAAAGATTCATTTCCTATGGCAGTATTAGGCATTAATAGACTAGACAGACAGAGGAATCTACATGAAAACTATCTTATTAGCTACTTGGTTGATCAATAATATAATTGTTCTAAATTCATTTGCTAGTAGAAAACTATGATGTTACGTCATCAAACTCTCACCCTGAAAATAAAAAATAGAAATCAGTTTCACATTAATTTATCAAAACGAAAGAGAATTAGTAGGTAAGAGCAATCAGAAGGGGTATTTTTGTTGAATTGCGTATCTCAGGATATATTTAACGAATGGCCTCTGCATTTATTCTTGCAACTAGTTCGGTAGGTACAGACGCCAGCAGGTTATCGCCTTTCTGTCAAATTCCTTTATTCGATTTTCAACTTTATTGTTTTGATATAAGGTCGAAAATCCAATGAAAAGAAAATACAATTTGATTTAGGTTGACTTGCTGCTATAGTTATTATGTTTACAGTATATTTCTATCAGTCACCTAAAAATCCCATTTTGCACTAAATAACGTGACAACGTCCACATTTTAATCTAGAGACTTGAGGCAAAAAGTGAAAAGAGTTACATAGTTAGGTTCTATTAATACTTGTTGATATGACAAATGTAAATTTGATTCTATTTAGCAAGCCAATAGAGTTATAGAGAGGATAACAAAGTTTGCAGTTCAAGGTGCGTTTCACTGAGATTATGTACTTTGAACTGTTTTTGCCCAAGAAGTAAATCAAAGTTCAATTTAGGTGAGGCGGCAAACTTAGCGCATATCTAGCCAGAAACTAGACATCAATCTATATTGAAATGTTTCTTGTATAAAGCTGTGATAATGTGTCTAATCATAAAATAAAAAAAAAATATCCCTTATCCCTTAGCGGATTGTAGAGGTCATATTTTCATGTAAAATACTGATTTCCAGCCAAACCCGTATCCTCCTATTATCCTTATCTATTTTAAAAATGTGTGGCATTTTTAAAAAGTTTTCTTTCAAAATATGATTTCATATTACATATCCTGGGAGCATTTGCAAACACTTTTCACATCACACAAGTCGATCACACTAAGAATAGAACCCGGGACACTGCACAGCAGCTGGTCACCCAAGCAGCCACTGCGCCAACTGTGCAAGTGTTGTTCTACATATAAGTGTAACATAACTTTATTTAACATTAACATTTTTCCCACTACACGTGTCGAACCCGCAATACAATGCCAAATTGTATTAAGATATTTACAACATTTAAGTATACAAAATTACATACCCATATACTTACCAGTGACAATGAGATGATACTACTCTAAACGAGCTGAACACATAAGCCGATTGTCACACTATAACTCAAAAATTTTATGTAAATAAAATGTAATGAAAACATGACATAACTACCTATGTTATTGAGGCCAAGCGTTGCTGAATAACTATTAACTAAAGAACCCATTTTATACTTAAAATATTATTGTTAGTTTTCACTTGGGCCTTGTATCCTAGAGTGAAGTCGAATGTTGATACATTCAAATTCCATTCTAGAACAGATACAATCAATCGCTGATCGGTAACACAAATGTATTGACGTAATTCTAATCAAAACAAGAAGTCAAAGTCACTGTCGATACGTTTGATTGCAGGCCTAAGATTTCAATGGTAGCCGATGGTTATCGTAATGAAATAATAGACCGATATTAAATATGCTTTATATTCATAGATATAACATGTTTTAATCATTTACGCTTTATGTACATGTACAGTAAACATAAAAAACAGAAGCCTTCTAACCTTACCTCTGGTATTTTTTAAGTTATACAGCAATGTGACTTTTGTGCCTTTCTAACTATCCGTATCCTGGAAAAAATAAATGTGATGTACGCTGGAAGCAGTGAATTTGGTTCGATTCGATAATAAAGGCTTCTGTTTTTCTAAACATTCCCAAATGAATCAAGGATACAGTTGACCACACGGCAATAACACTATCAATAGGATACTCGTCCTTATTGCTTACTAAATAAAGACGCTATCTGTTTCAGTGCTACCACTAATGTGTAGTCAAATGTACAACCTACTTTATGAATGACATGTCGAAACAGTGTATATGGTTTAATTTTAATATGAACTTCAGTTATTATGATTCCCATGGATATATAATCCAGGGTGGTACATACAATAGGTACACATCTCATATTTTAGTTGCACTTAGAATACCTTATAAAAATTACAGAAAGAACTACAACTCATAAGCTAGTTTATCAGTTGCAAAAATAATATAAAAAAAATACAGACTAGACGAATAATGGCTTTCTTCACTGGTTAGACACGAACCGACTTAGAATTATAAGACCCTAACCCATCTATATAAAAGTTCACACAAAACTACCACCTTTTTAAGATAACTAACCGTTACAAGTATTACAATTTATATTATCTATTTTTCAATAGATTAAATCACTCGATTGGAATAAACACACTTAAACTTTCAGTGTGACATTTATTGATAATATTAAAAGCTTTCTCTGATAGAATTATTTATTCACTCAACAAATTGATAAATCATTTACTTACACTACCAGTCCGCATGCAGTTCTTTAAGTTTATATTTTATAGCTATATAACATCGAGCGTTTCATTAAAATTCACGCATTCGTTCTCTAGATTAGGTACACCTATAAACAAACATAGCTATAGAGCTATACATGTAGACGGAAATCATAACTTTACGTTATGCAATATTATAATAAAGCGGACAGCTACATAACAAAATTAAAAGTGTAACACAACATTTCACAAAAATATGGTGGACACTCATGCAATAATGATATTTATTATGTATCTTTTTCCAATTAGTTACATCACGCTCGAATGTATTGATAAGATAAACGAACAAGGCCAAATATTACTGAACGAATTTGTATTTTGTTATTCCAAATACTAATTACTTGATATTCATTTGGGTAAATGGTTAAGTTAGTACCATCTTTCATTTTTGTATTTATTAGATTTGATAACGTCGCATCACTATTACGTTGTTAAAATATAAAGGCGTAGAGCGTTTAAATTTCTAATTGGAAAAATATTAACGTGTGTGGGTGTATGTGTTATGTGATAATTATGCTGCGTGCCGGACGACAAATGCGACAGTTTCATGTTGATGACTGATTCTGAAGGCGCCTCACTTTGGTCACAGAGAACATTTGGGCGTCGGCTGTTTCCTAGAATATTAGTGTAAAAATACATGTTATTTCTTTAATTATGATGATGAACAATCTGGTTAGATATCAACAATTAAACAAAACACGTACCTACCTATAACTTTAACCTGCATTTAGTTATTACCTAAGGTCTTTAAAATCTTTTAAAGCTTGAACATGTGATGATTGAGTGAACTATACAACGGCAACATAAACAAAGCCTTCTCCAAAAAAGAGATTTATTAAAAACAAAATAACATGCAAATAATTAGCTACAAACCATAAACATGATTATTAACAACACAACATGCATATAAAACATACAAAAATGCAGCAGACTTGATTAGTAAAAAGTATTTTTCAGGGTAGCATTCAGTAAATACTAATATTCTTGGGAGCAAATCTGAAAAATTCAACATCATAACAATTAATGGTAAAAACATGTACATTAGGTATGGGCATAGGGTCCTGTACCCATTTAGATGACATATTTTCCAGGTACCAAGTCAAATACAAGTGTAGAAGACAGACAACAAGAGAACAGGATCACTAAACATAAGGAGAATGAAAAATATTAGCATTTTCTAAGTACGACATTTTATTCAACAAATATTTACGCTTTAATCAACTATGTATTTAGATACAAATAAACTATATTAGATCTAACGTGCAGTATAAATATATAGGTTAATTGAAAAGATAACTGTATCTAGTGATATATTACACTACAGTTGGTACACAACGGTAACGTTACGCAGTATACTTGTTTGTACTTAGCGCCTACACCAAACTCCACAACATCAATAAACGTTATCTGAACAACAACCACTCGAATATGTTCATTTATTCTGTAGCTACTAGCCTAAACGTCGATAACAGATCCGCCGGCGATATTGGTTAGCTTATTTGACAGATAATACATCAGAATAGATAATAGTAATGACGCTTACTCATTATTAGAAACATGTTATATTATTATAACAACGGGTGTCAGTTTTATACAGCTATGTTTACTACATGCTTTATAGTTTTACAAACAATTGATGTAATGCATGGTTGCACTCGACCAGATCTTTTGCACAGCATCGATTACAAACACATTTCTTCCATTTCACTGAATAAGTTGTTCGTTAACGATCCAATCACAATAACTACCTTCATAAATCACTCTCTGAATTCAATAGTAGGTTTTAATTACTTGATATAGAACTTGTATTCACCATGCATTCAATATATTGGCAATTAAAACAGCGAAGCAAGCATAAAATATGTTAATTAAGAATTCAATGCTTTCATTAAAAGTGCAGCCAAACAGTACATCGTTTTGTATTACGTATAATAATTTTATTCATATCTAAGTACTAGCACCCTGTAAAATAAACATACATATACATATCATGTTATGTACACAATAAGTTAATCGGCTCTATTCTACATACATTATTATGCTCTAAATGTCTAATTTAGAAGCTACACAGAGAAGGAAGCGGATGCAAGTGATGGCGTAATCTTACATGTGTTCTGGATGGCTGCGGATGCAGTTAATGAAGTCGCTGGGCTTCAGCTCGCCTCGGCAGATGCGGAACACGGCGGTGAATAGAGGGAACCTGGAAACAATTGTCCATTCATTTGCCCTCGCTCCACAAACAATGCAGCTACTACCTATCTATACCTTCCGGAGTCTATAACTATGGACTGTGCAAATACATGCCAGAGATACATCTAGTTGCGTAAAACTCTATGCATAAAATTAAGCAATCAAAGTATTTCCTACTAATGTCTTCATTGGCCTTGTGTATTCAAACTGGCACAATCACATTCCTACAAAATTAAAACTGAACAAACGTATGCAGTTATCACGGTTATCACGAGAGAAGCCAAGTATCAATTTTTGAGATAGTTGGCTTAGTGTCAATGTTTATTATGTGCGGATTACCGACAAATGATTATGTTTAGGCTGACATTGACTTTGAACATAGGAACGGCTACTTTACATAATATCGATGAGTATAGAGAAGCAAAAATACATTTTAAGGTATACAATACATAGCCTAGCCAAAACGAAATGCCTTACTAGGTGTCAAAACTTTGATAAGTGGTTACATACACTGCCTAAAATAGCTTTTGTGCATGAAATAATTACAGAAACACTGCAATATCCTTCATTGAATGCACCACTGACCTCAAGTGACGAGTGGATGCAAGCCAAGACGAACTATTTTAGTTCAACCTACAGTCCGATTATATCACTGCAGATTATAATTGTCCCGTCGTTATCTACGAGTTCTGAGATCAACAACAACTCAACACTTCCGTATGTCGCGCACGAGAATGTAAGAAAATTGTTCTTTAAATGGCACGTGATTTACGCGCTATTATTCGCCGTTTAAACATGTTTCCGACTTTAATCAACTGCGTATTTATTGTTTTACAGAGCCTCATAAAACCTTGCAGTTTAAGTTATCTATAGAGGTAATGGGTTGTAATATGTTGTCCTATGAATTATTAAACAAAGACATTAAAATTGGTATTAAAGTTAAGCAAAAATTCGATAAGTATCGCTCTTACTTGTTCTCCATGTTTTTGTTGGCAAGCATGTGGTTGACTTCTTCCGCGGTGATTGGTCCTTGAAGTTTCTGGCCATTCAGCATCTCGTCTTCTAGCTCTTTAATAGACCTGCCAGTCTTTACAAAGGCCTCCGCTACCCTCCTGTTCCTACCACCTAAAATAATAACATTTCTTATATAATAAAACCTCATTCATGATGCTTTTCTGATGACAATTCATTCAGTTTTTAGAAAAATGAGTAAAATAAGGTAGGTATGGCATTTAACGCCCAATGTGTAATAACGCCCGAATGCTAAAAATCGGATAAAATGTTGCGCGAGTTACGTTACGCTTCACGCACACATAGAATAATCCAATAGGAACGCAGAGACGCGACGCGCCGTCGATAGCCATCTACGTTTAATAGCGCCCAATAAGCATTTCATGATAATTAATATTTTTATGAAAACTCCCATAAATGTTGATTTTCTATAGTTTTAAAACATGTTAGAAGTAAGATATTTTTGTTAAAGATGATTACGTAGAAAATACAAGAAGTGTTAGACGAGTTACTAAATTTAAATATTGGCGTATTTGTAATTCAATTATGACTATTGTGGTGCTTTATAAAAAAAGTCAATATAATTTACTTTTTGGTTTTATACGGCTCTAAGTCGAAATTTTAATGTTTATTGAGATAATTCGTTAAATAACATTTGGGCGTTACTAAAAACTGTATGTTCAATATCGCCCATGACAGGGTATTCAAGAATTCTTTGTTTGCATAATTTTATACGACTTATAGCACTTGAGTGTTAGTTTTCTATGTTTATTTCTTCACAATAAAACTATTTCTCTAAACGGTTTTTTAATTAAATTGTTTCATTAAATATTATATTGATTTGAAATTAAGCGGGCGTTAATTGCCTACGATACCTTATCTAAATTTTGCCAAAAAGACCTTCATAATTAATAAATCGCGTCGTCCAATCCGGTAGCTACTTATTTTTAGCTTCGCGGAAGTTGTCGTACAAATACTACTGAATAGCTTCCTCAAACGCCAAGTATGGGCAAAAAATAGTTCCACTGAGCTTCCGCCACTTACTTATTTAAAACATTACGGTTTTAATCAACACAATCGATTGGCTTTATCGCAAGGGGGTGTGTCAAACTCCGTTCACATTTTTGATTACGACTTGTCGTAATAACCAGTTATACCAGTTCTAAACCATTATAACTTTAACATAGCGACCAAGTGACCAATAATACGAGATTTAGAAACGTAAATTATGACATGAGAAGTGAATAAATTGAATATGAAGAAATATGTTCCGTAGCCAGGTACAATTTAATCATTACCCTACATAATGTATTATCATACATCCAATTAGAGCATTATCACAAATTATTGCGTGTCATTCATTGAATATGAATAAATGTAGGAAAAATAAGTGCTTCTTGAACGAGTACAAAATACTTGTACCGGTCAATGTCCGCGGTCTTTGTCCCCATTAGATAATAAATACTACTAAGTAATATGCACTGTGCATCGCCGGCATTTTAACTGCCTTAATTTTATATAACAACGTATCAAATTAAGCAATCAGTATCAAATAAATGCCTCAATTCATTTTTAAGCAATAATAAAATATCGTTTATCGTTGTGTTATAGCAATTAGCTCTAAACGATATTTTCAAGGTGATATTTCGTTGAATACATAATTATCGTTAAAAGAGTAAAAAAATAACTTGATTAAGTATTTCGCACTGCGGTACAATAGTGCAAAATCGGTTTATGCTGTTAAGCTATGCTTACCATTAATCTCTCTAATGATAGACCGCTATCAATTTACTTGCGATACTGCGATAGCGATACCCCAAGCGCGAATAAATCCAGTTGGTAAGATATCGAGTTCAAGATGTCAACAAGCCAATCAGGAATAAGAGAGAATTGCAATCATTCTGCAGAGTATCGCATCTCTCAACTCGCTTTAAGGGCGAAGCAAATGAAAAATACTTATTTAGAAAGTAAACTAAATAGTACTTATGTTACTAGACTTGATTGCATCGATATCATTTATCAGTATTCCATAAGGTGAATCTCAAGTTTACCAACAACTGTTTATTCAAGCTGATAATTTCGCAGACCGATCATATTCTCCCAACGCACGAAATTTGCCTATAGCACTCGATAAAATGTTTGCGTTAGATAAATTTTACAACTATGTACGTGGCTAATCGATAGGTTGGCGTAATGTAAATGTAAGGCCTCTGAGAACCATAGTACATTACTTACTATGCGTTGTTCTATCTAATACCTTGCATTCAACGAAGTAAATAGAGAAGGTACGATGTTCTAATGAAGTGCAGAACTGCACAGCGTATACCTATACGGATACGTATCTATTACCTAGATTATACACATATAGCGCGTACCGTGCATAGGTAGAGGAATATAACCGCTCTGAACCCGTTCAATGATAAACACATAAATCGTATGATCAGATAAACAGTGCAATTTCCTTTGCGTAAGTCGACGAAATGGAAAAGTTTTTTCATGCAATTGTACACACAGCTTGGCCTAAGTATTATGTGAAAATTGGGTTTATTGGCCACGTTTATAGATCGTAATATTAAACTGAGGCATCTAAGCAGTAATAATAAATATCTATTTCTGACTCTCCTGTTCGGTCAAGTGGTTGCAATTCACGAGTTCGGTTGCTGAACCCTTTCCGTTTTCAGTTACAATTCGGAGATCAAGTTTATTGGTCACACTGTTAGTTGATACTGATTGGCTACAAATAGTCAGTAACTCACCATAACAAGTCGTAATGAGATCAGCGACGCCGCAGGATTCGAAGAAAGTGCTAAGCTTGCTGCCAGGGTAGAATACATCGACGAATTTGATCATTTCCATAAGACCTAGACGGATCACAGCAGCTTTAGTGTTGTCACCGAAGCCAAGGCCGTCCACGAAACCTGCTCCCACGGCGACAATGTTCTACGCATACGAATTGATACATTAATTATTCGGATCAACGATTTCACACCGCTGTACTTATCGGTTTTTACCGTACCTTCAGTGCTCCACAAATTTCCACGGCATCTTCGTCGTCAACCACGACTACTCTGAAGTATTCAGTTTGGATGATGTCACGCATCATAGGTGCAAGCATCACGTCTCGGCATCCGATCGTGGTCTCGCAGAATTTCTCTTCAGCCACCTAAAATGGTATATTGTTAAAACTCTAATTGTTACTTTCATTATGTGTCTATTTTCTGTGTGTATATTTGATTTGTATTTGTTTTTTGTATTGTTTTGTCTGTTTATTGTGCTTACTAACATATTTGTAAAGATGTTTCGTATTTTTGTTTTTGTTACTAACACAGTGGACCTTTGATAATTATCTTAAACAAATAAATGATTGATTGATTGATTATTCATATCAATTTTCGGACGAATGTAAACCTCTCTTACGATTTAAGCAGAAGTAACAGTGGAACCACATTTTTCTTCAAATGAAATAGTAATTCCAATCCGAGATTGGATCATTTAGATCGGGTCTAGTAATTAATCCATCTATCACTATCATTCTGAACAGATAAGTGAAGGACGGGCATAGAAACTAAATTTTGCTACGTTTTGCAATAACTATTGTGGCTGAGACAGTTTATCTTACAAACTATAAAGTTTACGTGAATAGGCAATTTGCCAGTACACGTTACTAAGTGTTTTCGAGCGCGTGAACAAACTGCCTTGACACAGACATCTTAATGACATTTTATAAATATTTCAGAATAGGTATTGATCTTGATGTTTGCAATAAAAAACTCTTGTTACAAACACAATTCTTGTTGTTACTTAATTTGTTAACTCGTCGAGTACCGGTTTTGTAGACACAATTATAGAACAATAGGTTGCGGTCACCGGTGACCGCTTGGTGTTTGACAGTTTAAAGTTCGCTAACTATCAGTTTTATTAATCATCATTAATTGGAATAAGACCCACTGCTGAACAATGATGTCCCCATTGTTGCCATAGCTGCTTGCTGCGGCTAGCGAATCGGGGGTCATAGTTAGGTCAACAAAAAATTTAGGTGTGCTTCCATCACCATCATGACCGTTTTACAAAATAACTAGGTTCAATTTAGTCCAGTCTAGTCTCATCTATTTTGTTACTACACAAAACTAGGTGGGTAGTTACTGCTTTAGATCCACCAAATAATAGATATTAAATAATTTGTTTTTGTTAAGAACAAGAAACAACATTTGTTGAATCTTTAGTTTTAAACCTTCAGAAAAGACGTAGACAACTAGACATGATCATTTTTAAGTGTATGTCGGAACGGTCATTAGTACGAGATTTCGATTTACTACAAAACGAAGGAATAACAACAAAATGAATAAAGATGGCGCGCTTCAAGAGTTAATTGTGACGTCATGTCCGCCTAAGAGTGGGGGAGATTGAGTGACTTTCAACATCGCAGAACAGCAGGCACTTTTGGCTGGGACTCCGAACGAACAACGACGCACTGGGAATGCTGTCGGCCGAATAATGATTGCAATCATCAGAATCAGTGCTGTGAAATTGTCATTGACATTATATTGTTTGAGATTATAACTGTGAATATTATTACAATGTAAGTGGACTAAACTTTGATGTATTTTGACCATTTGTGAACTTTGAAAGGGACTGAGACCTCTGAGTTTGTTTCGGCGTTTCTTCTCAGAGTAGTCCGTAGGAAATGCCGACTCTGTGAAATTGTCATTGACATTATATTGTTTGAGATTATAACTGTGAATATTATTACAATGTAAGTGGACTAAACTTTGATGTATTTTGACCATTTGTGAACTTTGAAAGGGACTGAGACCTCTGAGTTTGTTTCGGCGTTTCTTCTCAGAATAGTCCGTAGGAAATGCCGACTCTGTGAAATTGTCATTGACATTATATTGTTTGAGATTATAACTGTGAATATTATTACAATGTAAGTGGACTAAACTTTGATGTATTTTGACCATTTGTGAACTTTGAAAGGGACTGAGACCTCTGAGTTTGTTTCGGCGTTTCTTCTCAGAATAGTCCGTAGGAAATGCCGACTCTGTGAAATTGTCATTGACATTATATTGTTTGAGATTATAACTGTGAATATTATTACAATGTAAGTGGACTAAACTTTGATGTATTTTGACCATTTGTGAACTTTGAAAGGGACTGAGACCTCTGAGTTTGTTTCGGCGTTTCTTCTCAGAATAGTCCGTAGGAAATGCCGACTCTGTGAAATTGTCATTGACATTATATTGTTTGAGATTATAACTGTGAATATTATTACAATGTAAGTGGACTAAACTTTGATGTATTTTGACCATTTGTGAACTTTGAAAGGGACTGAGACCTCTGAGTTTGTTTCGGCGTTTCTTCTCAGAATAGTCCGTAGGAAATGCCGACTCTGTGAAATTGTCATTGACATTATATTGTTTGAGATTATAACTGTGAATATTATTACAATGTAAGTGGACTAAACTTTGATGTATTTTGACCATTTGTGAACTTTGAAAGGGACTGAGACCTCTGAGTTTGTTTCGGCGTTTCTTCTCAGAATAGTCCGTAGGAAATGCCGACTCTGTGAAATTGTCATTGACATTATATTGTTTGAGATTATAACTGTGAATATTATTACAATGTAAGTGGACTAAACTTTGATGTATTTTGACCATTTGTGAACTTTGAAAGGGACTGAGACCTCTGAGTTTGTTTCGGCGTTTCTTCTCAGAATAGTCCGTAGGAAATGCCGACTCTGTGAAATTGTCATTGACATTATATTGTTTGAGATTATAACTGTGAATATTATTACAATGTAAGTGGACTAAACTTTGATGTATTTTGACCATTTGTGAACTTTGAAAGGGACTGAGACCTCTGAGTTTGTTTCGGCGTTTCTTCTCAGAATAGTCCGTAGGAAATGCCGACTCTGTGAAATTGTCATTGACATTATATTGTTTGAGATTATAACTGTGAATATTATTACAATGTAAGTGGACTAAACTTTGATGTATTTTGACCATTTGTGAACTTTGAAAGGGACTGAGACCTCTGAGTTTGTTTCGGCGTTTCTTCTCAGAATAGTCCGTAGGAAATGCCGACTCTGTGAAATTGTCATTGACATTATATTGTTTGAGATTATAACTGTGAATATTATTACAATGTAAGTGGACTAAACTTTGATGTATTTTGACCATTTGTGAACTTTGAAAGGGACTGAGACCTCTGAGTTTGTTTCGGCGTTTCTTCTCAGAATAGTCCGTAGGAAATGCCGACTCTGTGAAATTGTCATTGACATTATATTGTTTGAGATTATAACTGTGAATATTATTACAATGTAAGTGGACTAAACTTTGATGTATTTTGACCATTTGTGAACTTTGAAAGGGACTGAGACCTCTGAGTTTGTTTCGGCGTTTCTTCTCAGAATAGTCCGTAGGAAATGCCGACTCTGTGAAATTGTCATTGACATTATATTGTTTGAGATTATAACTGTGAATATTATTACAATGTAAGTGGACTAAACTTTGATGTATTTTGACCATTTGTGAACTTTGAAAGGGACTGAGACCTCTGAGTTTGTTTCGGCGTTTCTTCTCAGAATAGTCCGTAGGAAATGCCGACTCTGTGAAATTGTCATTGACATTATATTGTTTGAGATTATAACTGTGAATATTATTACAATGTAAGTGGACTAAACTTTGATGTATTTTGACCATTTGTGAACTTTGAAAGGGACTGAGACCTCTGAGTTTGTTTCGGCGTTTCTTCTCAGAATAGTCCGTAGGAAATGCCGACTCTGTGAAATTGTCATTGACATTATATTGTTTGAGATTATAACTGTGAATATTATTACAATGTAAGTGGACTAAACTTTGATGTATTTTGACCATTTGTGAACTTTGAAAGGGACTGAGACCTCTGAGTTTGTTTCGGCGTTTCTTCTCAGAATAGTCCGTAGGAAATGCCGACTCTGTGAAATTGTCATTGACATTATATTGTTTGAGATTATAACTGTGAATATTATTACAATGTAAGTGGACTAAACTTTGATGTATTTTGACCATTTGTGAACTTTGAAAGGGACTGAGACCTCTGAGTTTGTTTCGGCGTTTCTTCTCAGAATAGTCCGTAGGAAATGCCGACTCTGTGAAATTGTCATTGACATTATATTGTTTGAGATTATAACTGTGAATATTATTACAATGTAAGTGGACTAAACTTTGATGTATTTTGACCATTTGTGAACTTTGAAAGGGACTGAGACCTCTGAGTTTGTTTCGGCGTTTCTTCTCAGAATAGTCCGTAGGAAATGCCGACTCTGTGAAATTGTCATTGACATTATATTGTTTGAGATTATAACTGTGAATATTATTACAATGTAAGTGGACTAAACTTTGATGTATTTTGACCATTTGTAAACTTTGAAAGGGACTGAGACCTCTGAGTTTGTTTCGGCGTTTCTTCTCAGAGTAGTCCGTAGGAAATGCCGACTTAATTAAAATGCAAACAAGTAAAGGTGCACTGTCGAAAGTAAACGTTACTTTATTTACGAAGATTTAATTGTTTTATTACTGCATAAACATACCTCTACCGATATATATGACGAAGAGGGCTCTCGCTTGACATCGCCCATACCATCCTCCGACATGTACATGGAAAATTATTGGCAATAGGCATAAGTCGTACGTGTAATACATGTAGATGGCATTTATACTATCCTTTGCTTATATCGTAGGAATACAATACGATATTAAATTTCCTTTCAAATGCCTGCGCCAACATTTGACCGATACATATCTGATATTTTAATACAAATTCATAATCAATAATTTTACAACCGACGATAAAAATATCACATTTTACTTTGTAAAATACTTACTGATAATTATCAACTTGTTTAAATTTTTGCGAGCACGTATTCTATTTAGATTTTAGTTGTTCGATTTAATTGTGATTGTTTTAAGATATTTTTGTGTCATAGATAAATAATGTTTTAGAGTAAATCGCTGAAATGCTTTTAGGTCTAACAAAATATTTGATATTTTGTCAAAGAATTTTTGATAATAAAAAACATGTTAGACTTTTTTACTACACAGCGCAAAAAACATAGAGATAATTATTATTACATTTATACCTACACAGTTACTTGTATCTAATTAACGTAATGTTCAAAGTGATCTCATAAAAATTCAAAACATGTTCTAATTAATGACTCATCCTAAGCTATTATTTCGTAATACTCCAATTACATAACGGTAGGACGACGTAATAGGCCGGCCGGAGGAAATGTATAAAAAGAAAAAGTTTGTAGAAAAAAGGTGGGCACTTACCTCAGACGCAATGTTAGCTCCCATCAACACGGCACATGGGATTTTGAGGCACCTTGTAATAATGTGAGAAATGAGGTCAATGCCACCGCCTTCCGCGATATCAAAGCCCTGAGGGAAGGAACAATGAAATAAGTTACATAACTCCTAATGCGTAATAACTTTATATAGACGCAATAAAAACGAATATTATAAGTAGGTACCTTTATCAAGGAAAGTGCAGCCGCGGTCGGCTTTATCTTTCCTAGGAGCGTAGAGCAGATAGTTCTGACAAACTGGTGGGGTACTACGAAAATAAGAAGGTCGGCATCCTTTGCTGCATCGACCACATCTGGAATGGCAACCTGTGACGAACAATTCAATAATTCGTAAGCAATTTCGCTATCTTATTCAACTAATCATGTTACCAATTAATGCAAAAAAAATTGAGGACGTATGTAAGTTTTTATTATATTTTTACACTGAGTCAGCTTCGGATAGAGATAGGTAGAGTTTGGAATAATAATTTATTCCGATAACGATTGGAAGCAGCAGAAAAAGTGAAAAAGTGAAGCTGAAAACTGAAGGAGGTAGTATAATATATATAAACAAATAATCCAAAACTATGGTTCCCTAGCAGCATCCTAGCAGTTTATTCCTGAATCGGCCATGTAAGGGTTGTATTGTTCTTATGAACTCGGCTTTGATGACGACGGCGACGCGAGCAAATGACAATGAAAGCAAAGACAATGACACCCTTTTGTGTATGAATAGGAGCTTTTTCTGATCAACTAAAGCAAAAGATATAGAAAATTATATGAAACTTCAGCTTTAACTTTAATTTTTTAAAATATATATTTTGAATTAAGAATAATAAAAAAATATGTTTTGTAAATAACTAAAAGTTTAAAATTGTCACAGCGGCCATTTAAGAAAAAAATATTTAATATAAAACAGGTTTAACTGACATTTTAAATTTAATTTTATAGCCCTCCTCATACCAAAGTGTATTTTTAACTAATAGGTATATCAACTACTAGAGAGAGAGAGAGAGAGAGAGACATGTAATATTATTTTGAAATATTATCTACTAAACTGCTGACATAATGTCTCATAAGTATGTTAAACAGTTTAAAGGAAAAATATGATAAATCTATGTACAGCACATATTTATGTTATTGTTAGTTACATAATACAGTAGGTACACACATCTAGATATGACACAGTCACAGTTAATCAATTCCAAGGTCAAGAAACACTGCAAGATCTTAATTGTGTAAATAAAGACTCTTTTGTTCCAATCATTATGAAGTGGCAGTGAGTGGAAATAACTAAATTACCTAGTATGGCTAAAGATAACTTTGATTTGTTGAATACAATTATTTCTCTTTAAATATGAATATTTGTTGTGTTGTTCTTTTTTTTTTTTTGATCTGGTTGACTTGTCATGACAATGAAATGTTTATAAATAGAACAGAATCACTGAAATGGAAAATTACAGTTAAGTGACTTTAATATTATAAAATAGTGATATATAAAAGTTTATATATAACTACCTATGTTTATTTAATTAACAATTGGTCAATATTCCAAACGAAATATTTCAACACTTACAATATCAATGCATAAGTGATTTGTTTTTAAATTGATAAAGATGTTTTGTACCAAGGTCTACCAGTTGCATCCAAAAAAACATAATGCATTCTTTAGTAGACATTCTATTCTATTTATACCAGTTTCTAGTTGGAACTTTGATAGTAGTAGACAATAGTACTTTAATTATGATTGCTGGCTGTAAATACAATACTTCATTAGCAGTAAATACACCTTTGACAGAAGAGGTTGTGAGATAACATTGTCATTGAATTGCTTTGATAATGAACTGTCACCAAAATAGATTGGACATGTGTTCTTCACATGGACACTGTCAAGAACAAAAATGTAGCTTCACCAGTCTTAAGAGAAGCAATGTTTAGGGTTTAAATACATATAACATGTAGTTTTAAGTATTCAATTGCTTAAATGTTGAATATATTTTTATAATGTCACTTATTGAAGCATAAATTAAATAATCTAAAACAAACTTTTCTATGAACCTGTTTGTAAGTTGAGTTATAAAATAGAGTACTCACCACATTAGGAGGAAGTTTATGTCCAGGCAAATATTTTACATTTTCATGGGTCTCATTGATGATCTCTGTCAATTTCTTCCCTTCAATCATCTCTTCATACACCCACATAGTTACTCTGTCCTCGAAATTCGGCAGTCTTGCAGCATTGCGACCCACAATCTTCGCAATTGCAGATCCCCTGAATTAATAATATTGACACAATATAACAAAAATTTAGATTACATTTAAACAGCAAAAATACTAAATTAAAGAAAAATGCAAAATTTTATGATATAAGATTAAAAACATTAATTATGATATTGTTATGTCACGATTTTGTTAAAGGTCAGCTAGTACAGCAACACTTTCGACGTTTGTTCAAGTGATCAAATTACACATGCATTGAAATATATTTTATATAATATATAACACAATTAACTGTTACTTCTTACCAGTTACCAGAGCCGATAATGCAAACTCTGTTCTTCAGTATTTTTTCTGCCATTATTTATTTTTATAAAGGTAAATAGTAAACGGAATTAAATAGCAGAGGGTTCCGCAAACAAAACTTGCGACGAATTCGCAACGACTAGCGAGACTGGCAGACTGCACACTGGTCTACGCACACGCGCCGTACCGCGTTTAGCAAGTGACGTTATCAAGTTAAATGAGCTTATCAAAATCAACTCGTTATCAGCTAGGAAATCGTAACCACTGCTACAGCTATTATCACCTCGACACGGCGCGGCGCGGGTGAAGTTTGATGTGATCAAGTTTGTCAAAACTTCAAACTGACAGTTGTTGACAACTGTCAAAGTGACAAATCTTGATATTTTTCATGGCAACACCGGATTGAAGTCTCGACTTTAGTAACGACCATTGGTCACCAAGTTCTTGTAATGAATTTCTATTACTTTTTCAACCTCATTTTTGTGTCGAAATATGAAATATTTACTACTCCCACAGTTTCATCCATTGCTCAGGTGTTGCTGATTGCACCATGATGATTTATAGTCTTCTTCGTTAAAATTAAACGAAGAGAGATTACTTATGTTTTATTTCACGATGTAGACATATTACCTACATACTACTAGTACAGTACATCATACATGACTCTGTTAGGGCCATAATAAATGACGCAAATTAGTACCATCAAACAAACAAACTTTTCAGCTTTATAATAATAATAATTATATTAGTGTAGATATATATTCACGACATTTATATCCGAATTAAACTGTCAAACACCAAGCGGTCACCGGTGACCGCAACCTATTGTTCTATAATTGTGTCTGCAAAACCGGTACTCGACGAGTTAAACACACATACATACATTACTTCACGCCTGTCTCCCATGAGGGTAGGCAGAGAACGTCAATTACTACGAATGAAATCCATGCAGATATTGGAAGCTAATTTAATAAATGACTAAAGTAAAGCATTTACAATTTAGTCGGTATCAATATCGAGACTGACCCAGTATGGTGTGGTGAATATCGTAAAGCATGGTTTACACTTAACGAATTTTATTTGCATCAAAAATAGGCTTGGCTATATTCCGCTAGTGAATACTAGAATATAGAAGCTTCTCGAACGTGCTTCCATCGACTGGACAACTCTCTTCACCTCGTTCGATCAAACGTCATTTGAAGTTGAACGAATCTCGTGTGAGGAAGTGCTTGTACAGCGTGATTTTTGCTCTACTCGTTTTCTGTGTTCGTGAATACTGCAAACTAGTGCCCCTATAAGTTTTCTAATTTGTGATTAACACTCTATACAGCTATAAAATAGACGAGGTGAGTTTATTTCATTATTGTGTATTGACTATGAAATTTGCAAAAATGTGTTGGTTGTCTAAACGTAAAATTCATTTTCTTTGACAATTTATATATTATTTTATCATTACGTGGACTTTCTCCTATGGATTGTAAAATTTCTTATATAATTAGACAATTTAATAATTTGGACTAATTGGCATAATATCCCTTTGTTGCTATTTGAATAGTGTGGTGGTGGAAATATACCACGCGTAAGGCTTTATTAAAAGGGCCTAGTTGTAAATTAATATTGATTTTAGACCACGTTGCCTAGCTACGTCCTTTAATTTTGCCTTTATTTCAATAACTTTATGTAATAGAAAATAGAATAGTGTTTACCAGCTAAGTACTAGAATATTCTAGATCTCTTTATTAATACTTGCACAATAGTAATATTTTTGTTTATTTCTGTAATATCCAGGCAAGATGGTGAAAGAAACAACATACTATGACATCTTGGGTGTGAAACCCAACTGCACCACGGATGAATTGAAAAAGGCTTACAGAAAACTGGCTCTAAAATACCACCCAGACAAAAACCCAAATGAAGGAGAAAGATTCAAACAGATTTCACAAGCCTACGAAGTATTGTCTAATCCAGACAAGAGACGCATTTATGACCAAGGTTTGTTATTGTGTTTCTATATGTCTTCTTATTTCTTGATTAATATTTTGTTTAATTCCATAATGATTCATACAATGAGTTTTAACAATAAGAATAATTAAGTACTATGGATTCCTCACTGCAATAAATAAGAAAACAGATAAAACTTCTAAGATAACCCTGTTATCCAAATGTGCTAACTAATGCTAATCAATGATGATACTTAAAAATGTATTCTGCTATTTATACCTAAAGACAAAGTTCTAAAAGTGATAATAACTATATCTCAGGTGGTGAACAAGCTTTGAAGGAGGGAGGAGTTGGAGCAAGCGGCTTCTCATCACCCATGGACTTGTTTGACATGTTCTTTGGTGGTGGATTCAGTGGTGGTCGCCGACGTGGTCGTGAACGTAAGGGCAAAGATGTTATTCACCAACTGTCTGTAACACTTGAAGAGCTTTACCGCGGTGCTGTAAGGAAACTGGCTTTGCAGAAGAATGTCATTTGCGAGAAATGTGAGGGTCGTGGTGGCAAAAAGGTAGGTACAATATAGCTGTGCAAACTATAAATGAAAACCTATAAAAGAAAACTGTTACTAATAAGCATTGTATATTTTAGGGTGCAGTACAGACTTGCCCCACTTGTCGTGGTACAGGCATGCAGGTTCAAATTCAGCAATTGGCACCTGGTATGATCCACCAAATACAGACAGTGTGCACTGAATGCCGTGGACAGAGGGAGATTATTGACCCCAAAGACCGCTGCAAAGTTTGCCAGGTAAGTCACAGTAGTATAGTGTATTGTAACTTTTTTAATGAGGACATTTCATTAAACTGGTAGTCAATTAATATTTTTACCACCTTTGTTTTATGTATTTGTTGTAAAATTACAGGGACGTAAGACTGTGCGGGACCGCAAAATTCTTGAAGTCCATGTTGACAAGGGTATGACTGATGGCCAGAAGATTGTCTTCAGTGGAGAGGGCGATCAGGAACCAGAGCTTGAGCCTGGTGATCTTGTTATAGTTTTAGATGAGAAGGAGCATGAAGTAAGTTACTGATAGCAACTATTAAACTATTCTAAAAACAGAATTTTTAATATTTTGTCAATGTAATGACAAATTGGTTTGGATCATTAATGTTATTTGTTTTCTTTCTAGATTTTCAAACGCTCTGGTAATGATCTCATAATCCGGTTGAACATTGAGCTTGTTGAGGCACTCTGCGGCTTCCAGAAGGTCATCCGGACCCTAGATGACAGGGATATTGTGATAACTGTTCTTCCTGGTGAAGTTACTAAGCATGGGGATGTTAAGTGTGTGTTGAATGAAGGTATGTAATGTTTTAAAAAAAGAATGTAACTCAACAATTATGTTTGATGAATGTTTGTGGTATTTATTATACTTAATTAATTTTCAGGTATGCCAATGTACAAAAATCCATTTGAAAAGGGCCAGCTTATCATCCAGTTCCTGGTCAACTTCCCAGCTCGCATTCCACCTGAAGTCATTCCTGCTCTTGAGAATTGCCTCCCATCACGCCCAAGGGTAAGTTAAAATATATGTCTACTTTGTATAGTAACTTTTATTTCATTATGTAACTATTCAACTATTTATAATATGTATGTATAATATGTATGTATATATATGTTTAATATATTTATGTTGGCTGATTATTCAGTCATACATATTAATGTCTTGCCAATTGCGTCTGACCTTAATCTCTATGACCACTTCCTTTGAAAATGTGATGGTTATAACTTTTACATAAAATTGACTTCTGACAATTGCAGATCGAGATTCCTGAACTGGCTGAAGAATGTCAGTTGATTGATTTAGACCCAGAACAAGAGACGCGCCGGCGACGCGCACACCAAGGCAACGCTTATGAGGAAGATGACGAACATCCTGGTATGAACAGAGTACAATGCGCCACCAGCTAAGACGTCGCCGCATACCCGCCAAACAACCGCCAGCGATGGACCTAATCCAACAAAAGTACTACTAATTGAAATATTAATAGCAATAAAATTATGGCATATACATATTGATGGAAGTTTTACAAGCTAATATTGGATAGATTATATGCATTATCTCGCATTGTAACATTGAGATTATGTACCTTAATATTTTATTTACTAAACTTTTTTTGTAAGTAGTTACATTTTTTCAATCCAACCTTTTATTCAAACATCATTCACATGTAAAGTAACTCCATTGTATGTAACTCATTAATTATGATGCTATTTATATTTCATGAAGTGTAAGGCAATACTAGCTTGTTAATTAAATTATAATATGTGACTGGCTACTAGTTTTTCAATTTATGTCATATTGTAAACATCACATTCTACTGCTATTATCCTGTCCTTGAAGAGGCCAATGTGAGCAAAGCATTTAGTTTAAATATTACCTGCTTTTTCCTGAAACTGGTCTTATTTATGTAATTTTAAGTTAAACTTCTTAGTCTCAATGTAGGTCCATTGTTCAGGTGAATAATTAATTTGGTGAAGTAACAATCTTTACTGTGATTTAGTTTTCTATCAACATACCTCTTTTAGACTCAATTTATCTATATCTATTCCGAACCTTAGTATTTATCAACCATCAAGGCATGTTAGCAAATATTGATTTCATAAAATTATATTTTTTGTTTCAACATATTCAGTGCTTATACAATATTGCAATTTTGCAATTGAATTTATAGCTTGAAATCAAAGCTGCACACCACCAGAACTTTATTACATCTCGTCTATATACTTTAAAATATTCATGTAGTCAAAAGTTCTCTGGTAAAATACCTGTAGCATAGTAATTGATCAATTACTAGTTTTGTTACGTACGCTATTTTATTAAAATATTGTAGGCAGTATTTTTAAAGTTTCTCCAATTTCAAGATGCACTGGAAATGTTAGACGTTTTATTTTATCTGTCTATCTCGTACTATTTATGTTTAAATTAAACATAATAAAAAGTTTTATTTAATTAAAGTATAGCTAAATGCACTGTATGCTAGTTTAAGGTGTTGTAATGGGAACATACCATAATATAGGCCTGTGATTCGTAATGATTTGTGGTTGAATGGTTTTATGGCTTGTCATTTTATTCTCATAGCTGAAGTTTAGTTAATAAATAAACTTTTTGTCTCAAAAGTTTTGTTTTATTCTGAATTCTTCATAATAAATTATGATTTCTATTCAATCTAAATGATTATACATAATTTACCTGGGTAATAGTACCTACAAATCTAATGAGTTCAATAAAACACAATCCAGCTCAACTGGATTTGTTACCAGCCCTTCATAGAAACCCGACATGTTTTGTCGTATATGGTTCAATTCAAGTG